TGCTGAGGCCAAGCAACGGCTCAGGTTGGGGACAGAACGACTAACTACACCGAGACGGTGACGACTGCCAAGATTCGAAAAAGAAAGTCGGGGAAAAATACTGTCTTCCCCGGCGGATAGTTCTTAGGCATGATTTGTGCCCCATTCCAATTCTTCAATGGTCTTCTTTTTCTTCTCCTCTTCCATGTCTTTCATAGCGTTCACCGCCGAGTCGATGAGCTGGGAAGTCACATCGTATTTTAACGCGCTTGCCTTTCCGATCACTGGCCCTAATGTGAGAACGGTGCGGTTTATCCCGGCCTGTCTCCCCAGCAATTTCTTTAGCCTTAGCTGAGCTTCTTTGGAGTCGCTCAGTGCCCCATGCGCATCCTGGTGCATTTCTCCCTTATTCCTATCACTTTGGGCGAGCCCAGTGTCCCAATTTGGAATGCTCGCCTGCGGCTCCCCCGACGATCCCATCGATATCAGCGCAGGCAACTTCCATCCCCTTGAGCGTTGCCGCCTTCTCGTCTTCTTGTTCTTCCCTTACTGGATTGATAACGTCCGCGTCCACGAGGCTGCGTTGTTTCTTCCCATCTGGGTCCGTCTTCATTCTATCTGCCTCTGCCGTCGGGGACCCCACATCCAATTGCGTCTCCTCCTCCATTCCCCCGCTCCCGACGTATCCCCTCTGGCGGATGAAGCCAGAAAGGCACTGGATCTGAGAAGGGTACACCATGCGAAAGCCCTGAAACAGGCTCAGGAGGCAGAGAATGACATCGTCGTGAGCTGGACATGCGCGACTAGGGCTGAGCTGGGGATTCGCGTGTACTATACGAAAGAGGGCGAGCCGACGCACGATGTCACGGAGACTGGGGAAACCGGGAAAGAGAAGCGATCCCGGAAGAAGTTATAATGCGTCTCGCCAGGAACGCGGCAGACATCGTCGGCCATGGGTTCGAAGGAATGAAAGATAGCGCAAGTGACCGCGAGAAGCAGAAGGGAGGACCTGGAGCAGCGAATCGTTCAAACCCCCTTCACGATCCCCATTTCCTCAAATGTGACTCCCACGCTGTGCCGTGGGAGTGGATCCGAAAGAAGGTAGAGGACAGGTGCGGATACACCATCCAAGATATCGAGGCAAAGGAGATAGCGTATCACGCCCAAAACTACGGGGTGGAGGTGCTGGGAACGCTGGGGATAAGCACAGGAAAAGATGAAAACGGAACGGACATCGTTAGATTGGGTATCGATCAGGGGCTGGCCATGAGACATACCTATAGTTTTTTTTTTTCAATTGTTTATTTTTAAAAACAATATTTTTGAAAAACCCCAAAAAATTGAAAACAAAAGTCCTTGGATACATTGGACTTTTGTAAACGTCTTTGACGTAGCTTGTGAGCCTTCATCTCTGCAAAGTTGCTTTTATCATCTACATTCACCTGAGAGTGACTGTATGCGTCAGTTTAGCCACAGCACACCAACACATCAAAAGTTCAACCAACACTCAGTGATCACATTGATCCCTTTGTCGAGTGCAGCCAGGAATGCCACCACAAGACAGATGAAAGAGCACCAATTCAGGCAATGGCAAGAAAAACGAAAAACAGATGAAGAACAACGTGACGCAACAAAGACAAGAAAGAACAGAAAACAGTGAGAAGATAGAACTCAAGCAAAGAAAGTCTTGAAAGTTCAAGCGCTCCCATGAAAACCTCTTCGCATCGAGCTGTCAAGAAAAATCAGGACGGAATGAGAATAAGCACAAAACAAGACTCAGAAGCAAAGACAAACATGCAGAAGAAGGCAGAAAGGCGAGCATCAGCAAGTCCGCAGCAAGAGCATGTCAAAGAGCAACGTTCCGCAAGCCTGGAGACAGAGCATGGCTTTTGAAACGTTTAGGTCGCTCAGGTCTTTGTTCACCAAACAAACCGCTTTGGAGTTCTTTCTTTAGAAGAAGAGCACGGCGGCTGGCGGCGGGCACACGTGGACCTTCTCCTGACAGCCCCACGCAGATCATCTGATGTACTTTTCTTGGTCTACCATACGTACATATTTCGTATTTTATTTTTGGCTATCAACATTACTTTTTTGAAAATGAAAATTGAAAACAAAAAAAAACACTGTAGGTGAAAGATTCAGCCAAATCTTGACTGATCACGTTGATCCCTTCGTCTAACTTTTGAGTAGGAGAATTTGTTTGAACCACATATAATTTTCATCTTCTTTTGTCTTTTTTCGCTACTTTTTCTGGTAGAAGACTTAGTCAAGCTCGTGGTGCTCACTACGAAAGGGTACGACACTTGGTCTGCAACCTTTAACAGCCAAGAAAAGAAGTTCAGCCGTTCCGGTCTCAAGGTGCTTGCCGGTGACGGCGATCGCGTCACTTTTGCTGATATTGGTGTCTTTGCTTGCGGGAGCGGTTAGCTTTGTTCCTTTTGGTAAGACTTGTCGGGGCCAAGAGCTAAGGCCTCATACAAGTTCACATTGCTGTTCCGATTTGCTGATTTCCAATTGGCTCGCCTCTCACTTTGCCCTCACCTTTGCTTCATGCTCTCTTCATTTTTTGGATTGCTGGCGTCCAGACTTTTGATCGCCCAGGCGACTGTTTTACCGGAAGTGCGTTGCAACAAATTACAAAGGCGACTGCCTAAGCCATAAGCTTGCATTGCGCAGTAAATTGACGTCAAAGCACGGCAAAAATCAGAAGATGCCCTAAGCAGTCAATCTCCCGGCCCTAAAATGTTTCCCTGCTTGAATTTCGTGGCTTAAGTGAAGAGTTCAAAATGTGACAGACGTTTCCTGACCCTGCTAATGCAACTTAGCATCCTTTCAACCAGAAAGCCTGAACGCATGTCGGGTCAACAGCACTTTTTTTTGGTCTGGAGATGGCAGTAGCTGCCTTGACGTTGTGACCTTGGCAGTGGGAGAAAAATTGCAATACCTAGTGTTGCACTTCATGGTAGTGGGCGCACCCAACGAACCCAAAGTATCGCTGGCAACACTTGCCTCCCTGCATACCAAAGCTAACTTTACATGTCATGCAAAAATGCTTCAAGATTCCCAGCCGGAAGCACCAGAACAAAATCTGATCGTGGCTGAAGACTTAAGCAACCAGTGGGCAACACGTCGAGCCGCGCTACCGACCTGGTCAATGCCTGTCCTTTGAGCTCTACCTCAACTTTGGTACAATCCCGTCGAGCATGGCTCCCTCTCTGATGTGCATTCATGCGGCTAAATTGCTGCGCAGAGTCTGGAGTTCGGAGACCATTCAATTTCCGCACCCTGCTAGTTTTGCCAGAGGAGCGGCTGCTTGCGTCATCTTCTGCGCCGCGCATCCTGTGCGGTGCAGACGGAGCTGACAGCTACATGTCAAGACCACTGAACTTTGCGGAAGCTAGCAGCTAGAGTAGATGGCTCAAACAAAATTACCAACGTTGAATGTGCTTGTATCTGAAAATCTAAGCAGGGCTCACAGCAGTTCAGGACTCAAAGATCTAAGTTTCAGTTCATAATTGTGGGAAGCTCCTGATGCTCTTGCCTACACACAAGGAGAAGCTGGAGTTGCTTCGGCTTTGTCAGGAGAAACAAAAAGTTCTCAGAAGCAACCATGCCGATTCAATGTTGTTTGTGCTACTGAATCTTCCCAACATAGTGATCTACCAAATCCTGTATGAAGATCCGTGATATTCATGCAAAGTGGCTAGCAGCTAGGACATTGAACAATATTCACATATTTCAGCATTGACGGGAATCGGGTTTCAATAGTCTGGTGAACGCCGTGTTCCAAACAAAAATTACCAACAAAGGCAGACCCATTCGTACATACGCGGGGCCCGGCCTGACGCCACATCATAATTAGCAACTTTGTATTAACGAGTGAGTCGGGCATATCACTGGCTGCATGCCTCGGATCCACGCCTGCTTCGCTCCTGCAAAGCTCTTATGCAGAAAGTTTATACCGCTTGAAGCTTCATCTGCGCAAAACATACGATGCAAGGAGGATTTGCATCCTAAATCCTAACGGGTCTGGAAGCACAGGTGATTGGCAGGGCCAATGCAGGCGCTCAGCCGCCTCAACAACCACGGCATGGCATGCAAAGTTCCACACTACTGACGACTTCCCAGCGAGACATCCAGCAAGCGATATATTTCATATTCCGTATCGAATTCCAAGACCCAAAGCACCCGCTACGAGCGAGACTCCAAAGATGCTGCTTTGACAAATCCTCATCTAGGATTGCGGGGAATGTTTTGATCCAAATGCACGTGCCTAAGGACTTCATGTAGGCCTGCATGCTGAATGCTGCTCTTCCAGAACTGGCGGCTAAATAACAGCGATAAAAATTAGAGCCCCTTAGCCCTCATCCCCAAAGTCGGAGAACTTCCGGCACCTTGTCTTTCCCCCTGTCACGCTCCCGACGCTCGCTCCGTTCTCGCTCCCCATCACGGTCCTGAGCTACGTGCATATTCATCCGGGAAACCTACAGGTTCTATGTGGGAAAACAGGCGCCCCTACATGTAAAGTTATTGTCTCGTGGTGGGCTTCTCAACAATGCCTGAAAAAACACTCTGCACAATTTTTGGAGTTAGGAGCCTAGTGAGGACTTTTGGAGCTGACTCGTGATTCAGGCCACAACGGTCTTCTGGGAGCCTTGGGGAGACATGGGGAGACCCACTCCAACTACTTGTCGAGATCCACGGTGTAGGAATTAAGTGGCTTCATGTCAGATGCTCTCAAGTTTTTCTTGGATGAGTGAATGTAGGCCAAGGTAGACTATCAGGCTTTTCCACACCCTTCTAGTTTGTAACTGTGTCTGAATGGCAAGAAACCCAAAAAAGTGAGAACTGACAGCTTTTCTAGGCAAAACAGGCGTGAATCCTTTGTCTGTGATGTCAAGGACAAGCACGGCACAAGAAGGCCAAAGACTGGGCTTCGTGGGCGACTAGACTCATATTTGTGACAGCAATGCTCACCTTGTAGCACTGGGGATGCTTAAGCAGCAGAACCATTGTGAGGCCCAGGCACCGAACGGAAACACAATCATTCGTGCATTGCCGCGATTCCCTAAGAGCCTCATTCCCACCAATCCAACAAAGAACCACAATTCTGACAATCCTTGAAATCATGTTTGCAATCGACTGGGCAGCTGGCACGGATTTCCCGGCCTCGGCCAGCAGTGCTCATCACGACATCAGGCTAAGGATGTCACAGAACACTTGTTAGGGATTACCCCTCTGCTCTTCAGCAGATAGCTGGCTAGTCACTAGGGTTTAGGGTTGGTCAAAATGAGAGGTGCCGTTGGAGTCCAGGCATTCAGGCAATGGGGGTATGCCAGGGACTTTGGTTCTAATGAAAACACTTAACATCTCTAGCTGCATCAGAATTAGGACGCTCAGTCCTAAGTGGGATTGAACCTTGCTATGCCTCCACGGAGAGATTTCCAGACCAATCCCTTCGGGTCGCATCGCCACCACACTGCAGAGGCAGAAGTCAGATTGACAGCTCTTTCTCTCTTGCGGCTTTTGGTCACATGCATGGTGTCCTACAGACTCCTGACTCGATGATGGCCTGGTGTGTCATGTCAATCTACGCGATCAGTGCGTCTACACTTTCTTCAAATCGATCCAAATTTGTGGCACCAGGGCATCGTCCATTTGCGCGTAGGATGTCTGGATCCTGGCGAAAGCTGCTTTGTAAATGGCAAGGGGTGTAATTGCAGGCAAACATGCCATCTATCTACGTGTGGCCCGGTGCCCCCACACGCAGAGACTTTAGCATTGGGAATAGAGCATCTAAACATTGACAGTCTAGGGCTGGAAAGATGGCACGGCAAAGGTGTGATCGCCAGGCGTTAGCTCTCTCCCAACAAACACTTCTGCTCACAAATACCTTGCATAGCTCGTGTTCAAGGGCGGGGGCTGGCCAGTAGCGGTGGCAGCTTAGCATCAATTTTGACAGTCGCAGCAGTGTTAGCAAGATTGCTGCTCACAACTGCCGCTGTCGTCTGTGAAGTGGCTGTTGATGGTGGCAATCGTTGTCACAAGAATTGCAGTAGAGATTCGCAGGGGACCAGACAAAGGGCACAAAGATGCTGTCGCCATGGCAAAACATATGAACAATGTGTTGAGCAAGGCTCCTGCGCAGTGTAGCCAAGCCCTGCTTCTCCATGGCTGCCGCGACGGAGACCGCCACATTGATGGCGCTTCCCAAGGCCAAAATTTGCAAGTCTTCCACCTGAAGCTCATTCAAAAGTGAAAGGCCACCAAGCCCTTTTGTAGATGCACGTGGGTGATGCCAAAGCTTCCTTTCTGGGGTGGAGGCTTGCCATGATGAGTTTTAGACCTGTCCCACTGTCCCACTTCTACGGATGTATTCGTCCCGTATACCATGTCTGTTGAACCCCCGGTGCTCCCACTTCTGCGACAGTTGCAGTCGCGGAGAACTGCCCTATTTCGTGGAAGGATCCAGTCTAAACAAATGGATTTTCAGCCGGAAGGGCACCCCAGGGCCCACTTCAAAAGAGAAGCGCCGACGGCAACAACAGCAGCCGCCATAGCAAATAATCATCGGGTCGAGGCACCGGCGATTTGGCAGCAATCTCACGACCATCTTCTGCGGTGCGGGCTTCCTTACCTTTCAACATTGTCTCTGCAGACCTTTCATAGAACTTCCTTAGCTGCCGCAATGTAATCGGTAGACGATGGGAGATGTATCGTATCGCGCTACGGACCAGGAGCTTTCCAGGGTGCAGTGTCCCATTTACCTGGTTTCTGCACCAAGCTTCAAGCTCTTCTTGGCAGTGACCTTCATCTCAAGACCCCCAGTCACCGTAGGCTCCACCACAGGCTTCACTGATTTTCGCTGGCCGCCCTTGCCTTGGCTGACTCAATCTCTGCCCAAAGCTCAAATCAGGCAAGTCAACGGCCCGGAGTTTCGAGAAACCTTTGTTTGGTATCGAAAGCCCATGCAACTTAGCTTCCATGCGGCCAACGGCGTAGCGCCATGCCTGCATGGAAATCACGTTCGGTCAGAAAGTATATGTACTTGTCATCCGTGCCGATGACGTCTTTCGGGCACGGGGAAGGCGAACCAGGGTCATCATCAAAGACCATGTCCTGGGGTCATACTTGTGGCAAACAAAATTTAAGCCATCAAAGTGTGCATTTGGTGATGGCATCGTTTTGACTTGTCGTTGTAGCATGTTTGCTGTGGAGAAAGTACTGCTACTAAGTGAGATTCGTGCTGACATGATGATGGTGTTGATGATGACGATGGTGCGTTATACGGCTGTTCAATGTAAGAACTTCCTGTCAATCACCCAGTGTCACCTGCGGGGAGTGCCAGGCTCACAGAACCTCCAGTCAGTGACGTCTGGCGGACGCCGTCTGCACACTGGGCCAAGATGGTGTCACCGGCCACAAACAGGGCGCTTGGGAAGGCCAGGGACTTTGAGGATCGCTCATCCTTGAGAATTTCCTTCTCTGTTCCGCTTGCATAGTTGAAGGTCAGCAAACCATGCCCTTTGCATACCAAAAGGGATCCTGGAAGCGCACACAGGGCCGTCAGCACGGATCCCGAGTTGCGTGGCCTCAGTAGGCAGGTGGGCTCCTTCACAAAGTCTCTGACAGGCTCCAGTGAGTTGCCATTCACCGGAGTAGCAGTACCAGGAAACTCATGAACCAACGACGTGGTTCCAGGAAAAGCTTCCTTCAGAATGTTGCTGGCATATGGCAACGTTCAGTCATCCTCTAGCATAACTATCGATTACAGTTCAAGCAAGGCAAGGCATCTAACAATGTCCGAGCCGCATCTTTCAGAGCATGCTGTGCACGATGTACGGACCCTGCAGCGTTCACGAAGAACACATCCTTCCCGCTGCTGCAACACCCATCCAGGGTGGTCGATAGCTCGCGCGGCTTTGGCAACCGTGTCGATTATAAGCCTCAGTTTGTTTTGAATAACACACTCATCAAAACTACTTGCAACACGTGTTGTTGGAGCATAACGCAGCAGTGATGTGTCGCACCAAGGCAGCCTGGACACCTACGTTTATTTCTTCCTTCCCCAGCTGTCTGTCTGTCTGCTTCAGTCATTTTGACGATGTAGAGGTTTTAAAGCACAGCGACATAATTTAAAGCACAGTGAAAGAAATGCAGACCGAGAGAAGCTCTAGCATTGCTTGGAATTCAAACATCAGAACTTCCAAAATGGTCAAGCTTCATTTTCTTCATGAACAAGATGAGCACATGGCCTCCTGTAGCCGTGGCTGGACAGCTTTTGCCGACCCCAGGTGTGAAGAAGGCATCCAAAGACCCTGCCTTATCTGTTTCCGATACATGTAGGTTTCTTTTCGGGTGCCCTTGTTGAGGATGCCCCTCCAGAATGGAAAGATCTTACACATGACCTTATGCCCCGGAACCAGGCCTCCGGGACTTACCTGGGAAAAGCTACAGTATCGGTAGTGCAATTGGAAATTCAGTGCGGACAGAAGCACTGGGTCACTCAGGAAGGTCGTCTATTTACGATTTGATTGCTGTAAGGTACGGCTTAAAAACCTTTATCGTAGTCTCGAACTTGAAAGACTACCTGCGATGCGCAGAAGGACTTTCGGAACGGTGTCACCTGCTACATTCCTATGATGGAGCTGCACCTTCGCTCACAGGTGGAAAGGAGAGGCCTTATCATGTCAGGGGTGAATCTGCGCATAGCATCGGCAACTGCTAAACTGCCACCTGTGACAGGACTTCCGAAACCATTCTTGCCTTCTTGCTGCTGCTAACACCGCTGCTACTGCTACTGCTGTTACGTAACTTCTGCTTCTCGCGCTACTACTACAATGCTGCAACTTACTTTCTTCCCTGTCCCACCTGCTGCCATCGTCTGTAAATGTACTGATGCAAGGATTGAACTTCAGGCAAAGAAAACAAGGTCTTAATAAGATCACGAACGAGCCTCCTGCACTTCGAATTCGCTGGGCTCACCACTTGCGGGCACAACTTTCAAGGTAGTTCCTCAGCAGTTGAGGTCTCAGGAAAAGACTAAGGTCAAGAGCTCTTGGGTTTGCTTCTCAGGCTTCAGCACTTGCGGGGAAAGTTGAGAAGGCGTGATGGGTGAGGGTGGAGCCAGTCGTGGTGGTGATGCTGGTGCTGGTGTTGGTGCTGGTGGGTCGGGGTGGGGGTGGGGCGGTGGCAGCGGTGGTGGCTGACTGTAATAATCATGGTAGTGTTAAAATGTTAAACTAGAAGAAGTAGTATGGAAAGATGTCTAATTTCTGTGCCAGGGGTTGTTGCTAAACAAATGCAGCCTCACATAGTCCAGTAAAAGCTGTCAGTGGGACCTTAGCTCGGGTCCATAGGGACCTTAGTCAGAAATCCAACTAGCTTTCTCGAGACTTGTTTTATGTCGCATCTTACCGAAATGCGATCAAATCTCCGAAGCTCGAGCCACCGAAAGAACGCCACAAAGGCAACCAAGCGATGCTCTAGAGGCCCGAAACAAACACATCTTTGGGACTTTGCCCTTCTTCTTCACAAAGTTTGGCAGCTCTTCTATCTTCAGCCATGGCTCTCACTAAGATGAAGATGTCACCAGAGTCATTCCTCAACTGTTCCTCGTAAGTTACCCTAGTGTGAAGAAATCATTGGACATAATGAAAAATATTGGGCATGATGGGCTTGCGGTTGAGGCAGAGTTGCACCAAAGCATCCACTAGGCTGACAGATTGTGTCCAAATGCACAGAAACGGCATCATCTGCAGAAGCAGTTTTGCTAGCTGCCAGCTATCATGTAAACCTCGCACTTATGATAATCATACAAACAAATCCAGAGTCCATGAGCTGCAGCTACGTCAACTCTACCCAGCACTACACGGATTTAATCCAAACGCCTTGCCCAGGATCACTGCAGCCGCCGTAGGATCTTGCAAGTCGTTCCTATCCGCTGTCTCCACAGCGTAGCCCGGCTTCCCAATCCACATGGCCGCGCTTTGGAGGCACGGCTGTGGGAGTTTCTGCAAGGCTTCCACGGGCTGATAGCATATATGAATGAAACCACTTGGGCTTTCAAAGGATTATGAGCGACTCGCATGGCTTCTGGGGCTGAAGGACGGCTGGGGGCTTGACAATTTCTCATTTTTGGTTCCTTGTAGCATGTTGAACCTTAAATTTCAGCAGGATCTGTAAAAGCGATGAAGCCATAGCATCGGTAGAAGCTCTTGATCTTCTTCGTAGATGTGGGGACGATCTTGTGTTGTATTGCAGCACGGTTTGGAAAGAGGGCGCAACCTAAAATGAGACGAGTGTCACATGCTACCGGTGATCCTGTATGGTCGTTGGGACGGTCCCAGTGATGCAGCTGGCACTGAAATCAGCGCGAACTTTGATTTTTTCCTGTTTAGCTCTCACCCTCAGACATCCGAGCGTTCCCAGTGGCAAGGAAAGGGTGAAAAGCCGAGGCTTTAAAGACCATTTGCCACCCCTGGACTTTGAGCTCTCGGGTCCTTCATGCTGGCTTGAAAATCAATCCTTCCTCACCAGCCTCTCTTTGACTTCGCACACACATATCATCGGAAGCCCTGGTCTGCGTGGAAGAGGCAGCTGGGTCCCCGGCGCCCCGGTTCCCTTTCGTCGCCTGCACAAGCTTTGCGTCAATTTTTGGAATTTGGACGATTTTTTCCAAGATCGGCCTCTGATTCCCGTGATTAGATCTTCCTTGTACAAGAACAAGATAGTCCATGACCCCGGAGTCAGGAGGAAGGCAAAGCAAGTAAGCTTGGTCCTTCTACTGCGAGCTTGACAGTCGGTACTCATCAACAGCCACGCCTCTCTCTCCGAAGTACTTGCTGCTCTGATATCCGGCCTTTGCAGTGCGTGTATGCTCTACTGGATCGGGGTGGTTTTGCGAAAAATACAGCCAGTAGCGCAACTGCAGTAACACCTTAAAACATACTGTTTGTAATCCTCCAACAGCAGGAATAATTCAAACGGACCCCATCTACCTGGCTTGCTAGGTAAGCAGGCGTGAGGCATCTGTCCGAAGGAGAAAGTTTATGATGCTGCTTGGTGTTAACAGCTGACACATCATAATGCCATTGACAACCATGACTGTCATGACAAGAAGGATTAAACCCATGGGCCTGGAGGGTAGCTGCAGTACTGATTTCATGCTGTCGAGTCAAGCATCCCTTGGCTTGGAAGCTTCAGCCTTTTGTCCTGGAGGTGTCATGGCGCACATGGGCTCGCGGTTTGGAGGGCAAGACAGTTTTGAAACAGCCAGCAAACAATGTCATGTCCTTTTGCGTTTGCAGAGGCAGACATTCAGTCCAGTCTGAACTGTCCTTCCGACATCTCAATTCAGCTTTACGGTCCGTGTATGACAGTTTCTCGAAAACACGAGTCCCTTGTAGCCGCCCTTATCATGGGAAGTACTTGGTTTTTCGGGATAGAGGGCGACCTGCATGTTAAAGCTATACATCCTGGGCCTCTTGTTTTTCCAGGCCTGCCAAGAAGCAAGTAGGTTCTGGCCGGTCAGCAAGCAACTCAGCCTGAGGCACGAATCTCGGGGTCGATAGCCTCAGCTTCTCAAAGGTTGGCATTGTGGACTGTGGCCCTAGACTTGTCGTCCAGTTAAAGCATGAGGACGGAACACCTGAATGCATGTACTAGCACAGCATAAAGCCACATAATTGAAACATGCCATATCTTTCCTCGAGGCTTGCCGACTCTTCTGAAATGCCATTGTTGGCACATGCAAATAATCAGGCCTCAGGCTATCAGTCCCTTTGCACCTAATCTTGTAGTCATATTGCCACCAGTCCAGAGTAAGTAAGGCCCCTGTGCCCTTCAAACATTTTCAGCGTGGAGACCCGAAAGCCATCGGCATCTTGTATCCAAGCTGATCATTGACCACATACTGTGATTCTCCACAGGCCTAGGCTGGGAAAATCACTAGCACTACGTCTGCAAAGATTCTTGATGCTTCTTTTTGATAGGAGTGAGATGCAGAGATGCTCCACCCAAATGAAACATCACCAGGCTGAGGAGCTGGCATCCCCAATGTCTCGCCGCTTGCCACCCTGGTATTTGCATGGACCTTATGCATGCAGCTGACAGCTTTGACAAGATTTCAGAGCGTGGGAGAAACTTGAACGATTCCTTGAACGCGTTTTGCTCCATTCCTTCGACTTCTTGTCGGATCAGTTCAACAAAATTTCGTGAATCTGCAACTGAGGGTCGTAGCCATTAATTTGCTACTGCATGGATGATCCGCTGGCTTAGGGAGGGAGCCAGTTCTCCAAGGATGCCGATTCAATGCCAACGGTAACAGTCCTGTGCCATGATGTGGCACGTGCTTCACACTCAAGATGCCGATTTCTCTCCCCAACATGCACCAAAGAGGACTTTTCGCAAAGGGCGAGATGGAGTTGGGTGCTTTGGATGAGGAGCTTGCGATTTAAGGATATCAGCACTCAGCTGCTCAAGGTAATGCGGCCATGATCTGGACTCCAATTCTGAAGCCACGCGTGTCCATGCTGCAGTGACGCAGCTCAAAGGAACACCCAGCATAATTCCACTGGTTGAGGAAAGTGAACTGTCGGTTGTCAAGGTGACCCCATTTGCCGGCACCCGGGCCTGTAGCAGCTAGGACCCAATACTGGATATGAGATATGGGGTTTCCAAAGATCCAGAATCTGCTCTTGGGAGTCCAGTAGTTGGACATCTACAAATGGAACCCCGTATTTGGAAATATCCATTTGATCCATCTTCCATTGTGACCCTGTCCTGCAGGTTGTTTTTTTTCTGCCAAGTGCTTTGCGCGGTGTAGGTAGAGAGAGGTGAAACGAACGCGAGGCACGCAACATTCTTAAAGGTTTGGGAAAAAGGACGTGATGCTGTTCTGAAGGTCATCTGCTGTGCGATCTCAAATACCATGTTTTGTGTAAATGTTCAGGTCTGTCGCTTGACATGGCAAATGCTTTTGATTAAGGAGCCTAAGCTTAAGATCTGTCGGCTTTTGCAAATGAAATCCTGGAGGAAGCCTTGGCAGGCCGAGGTCACCACTAAGTTGGAACTGTAATCATTGGTACCCTGGAAAAAAGATTCTTGGAATGTTGCTAGAAATCTAAGGTGAATATTCTCGATCCCTGCAGGGCCTTGCAGGCCACGCCTTCTTCACGCTCAGAAATGAACGCTTAGTGGCATGATCTCAGCTTACAAAAGGTCCTTGCACTTTTGAACGTATGGCGCTCTTGGTCGCGCAAATGGCTTCACGAGGGGCTGTGCTTTCATATATAGACCCCAAAGATTGCGGGCCTCCAGAGGACGTCCGGTACTGTTGTGCAAACGGCACTAGTGCTGAGCTAGCAACAGGCGACCCAGGCCCATCAGATGTCACAAGATCTTGCCTGCGCGAATTGTAGTTGGCCAATCCCGTCTGCAAATAATGAAGCCCCCACGCCCTAGCAAGAAGTACCCACATTATGGTACCAGTATATAATCTGGGGAAAAAATTGATACAGGGGTGGGGAGGCTTCTCTTTGGGGGGAGTAGTCCAGGGGTACAAACTTTGAGTTTAAAAGCTGTTGGTACTTAAACCTTCGCTTGGCGCAGTGTGTAGAGGCAGAAAGAAGATTATGGTTGGACTGTAAGCCTTCCTGTAGGTCCTAGACCCGTTTGGGAAACATCACTTTGAGCTGCAGAAATCTAGGGCAGAGGCCCCGCCCTTCCGAAGAGGATGGGTCGATGACCTGGCATCCAACAGACTTGAACCTGAGCGGTTGGTTTTTGCGAACCTTATCTCCCAATGCTGACGGACCCTGTATGATTCCGACCTCCATTGCGGAAACACTACTTGAGGGTTGTTCGCAATCTTGCCAGCCAGAGGGGTTTTGGACTGTTAGAGGGAACCAAGTCACCGCGAAGACAGCCTCCTCTAAGAAGCTGAAGCAGGTCCTGCCGCAGTTCCCTTGTGCGTGTCCGGAGCATGCGGTGTAAAAAGGTGGCTTGCCATGGCAAAAGACAGCTTTCTTTGCTGCTTGCTCACACCTCACAGGCAGACCATCAAGCAGCTATTCAGCTATTTAGATGTAGAGATGAGCTTCAAGATGCTCTTTACTACAAGTTGTGCCGTCTGTACAACAAAATCGAGAGGCAGATCTTGTGCTTCTCGCTTTGGACCGGACGCACCGGTTGCAACATGAGAAACTCAAAAAATCCATCTGCTCAAGGCTCAAGAGGCACATCTTGTGGCACTTGCTGAGGACAGGACACACCAGATCTCACAGACGAACCACTTGTGTGCATTCTGTACAACTGTACAACCAAGACATTAAGCAAACATTCGTTGTAAGGCCTGGGAGAAACTCCGACGTTCTTCAGGTTCAAGGGCCACGTCTTGCCCTTGTTCCGGACAGAACGACATCGGTTCGGGCATCAGAACTAAAGTGTCTTGCACTGGATTCTTGCCCTTAATGTACAAAGTCAATACAGGCCCTTCCCATTTGGAGCCTCTTTTCACCGTGTGTGAAGTTGTCGCCGCAATGTAATATACACCCCCTTCTTGAAAGCTGTGGGATACTGCTAGTTCGACAGACCCTTGTTGTTTCCAAAGCTCTTTGCCGCCTGGATCCTTTGTGCGATTGAAGACGTAGTGCACATTGCATTGGCTCGGGTGCACCGTCCATATGCGATGCAGGTAGCTTCCGCGCAGGCAGCAGCTGAAGAAGCTGCTGCGATGATTGTGTACACATGTCTCTGTTGGATCCTGGAAGAGGTGCAATCTTACCTCGACAGCTTGTCCAGAGAAGAGATGAACTCGAGTCATCACACCAGGTACCTTGTCCATGTACACACCTTCAAATGACAAACCGCACAATTGGAGAAGGTTCTTCAGGTTGACAGCGATGGATGAAACTTTGTCCCTGTCAGATTCATCGTCAAGCTGCTTGTGCGATCGCATTGCAACTTCATGATCCAAACCCTCCATGAGGGCAAAGAGGTGACATCGGCTGAGCCCTGCTGGTTTTGCGAAAGTGGTGCCCATGGCGCAAAGAGAGATCCCTCAAATAGGAGAACAAAAATGCATAAGCCAAATGACTGGATTACAAGAACTCAAAAACATGGTATGACTGTGCTCAAGACTGCACCATGCAGCTGCACGTTGTCCTCGTCACGGCGTCATCTGGGGAGATGGGCTCGACGTTGATGTAGCCGAGGCAGATGTAAATCACGATCAGAGAATGAATTTAGGGAGACAGCAAGCTGTGTTTAACCCTTTTGAAGCATTCTCTTTGAAAACCATAGCGAGCATTGCATGGAAACTAATCTGGAAGTGCACGTCAACCTGCAGGACTTCAGCTCTTGAGACATTCCTAGCTTGGCTACCAAGTTGCAAAGTCCATACCTGAAGCCTCGCCCGTTCGATCGAGTGAAGCAAGCTGGCTAGCAGTTGCACAACTTTTGGCCTGAAGCTGATAACGTAAAGCTTCTGACAAGACTCGACGGACCGCCTACCCCCCCAATCCAGTGCCTCCGAGTCCTTACTCCTCCTCCCCACCGCTGCTACAAACGCTGCTAATGCTCTTCATCCCCAGCTTTCTCCTTATCTGTGCGGCCCCGCCTGTGTCATCTCGAAGGCCCTTCTTTTTCCTTGCCGCAGCGGCAACCTGCACAGGCGAAGGATTCAGAAGCTCTGGCAAACGAGTAGGTGGAAATCCTGGGTCCTAGCATGGTGATCTGATTTTCGATTGTACTGTTGTCAGACCGCAGAACTTCTCAGAACTGCTCAGATGACCAACACATCAAAGTTCATTGTTGCAGCGCATATGTCTTGAAGCCTTCATGAGAATAGTGGTTATCATTTTCCGGCATTGAACTTTCCTCTGAAGCCTGTGGCTGCAGCCTACAATCCTCTGAAAAAGCATCAAAATTCCCCAAGGCTTCTTGTGAGCACCTCCAAAGCAGGACAGCCTAGACACACGTCTCTCAAAACAGTAATTGTATTTCTTGCTGTCAGAACCGTATGGTGGCTATGCTACCTTTTTTGGCATAGAAGCAGAGACCTGATGTGGGGGAAGCCGCGAATTGACCCGTGTGCTTTAGCCTCTTCTGAGCTCTTGTTTTGTCGTGTGCCCCTGGCATTTTACGTTTCTTTCTCTTGAAGCCACACCTGACAACTGGTCAGCCTTCTCTCGGTTGGCCCAGTCCCTGCACGTGGCACGATCCAAGCAAGGATTGCCTTCAGCGGTGAAGGAAGGTTTCTCTGAGAAGTCCAGAAATTGAGCTTTAGAACTTCTTGCCAGTTACACGACGCAAGGCAGCACAAACCAAGAAGGGGTCTGAGTGTTTAGACTTTTTTAGTCACACAGCTTGCTGATGACGACATAAGGTCTCCAGGGTGCTAATGCTCACAAAGGGAATCGCTCTTTGCCTTGAGCGCTATACGGTAGGATCAACGTTGTAAAGCGCTTGGTCAGTGGCTACGAGTCTTTTGAAAGAGTGCAATCAGGCTGTGGGTGTAGAGGCGTCTGAGCACCACCCCAGTAGTACATTGGTGTACGAATGCTGGAATGGAAGCTGATCACGGGGCAGACTTGTTGAGAGGGACTTACTTGAACTAGACTGTCATGTGCTGGTTGTGTTCTTAGCCGCTGCTTCAGCTTTGGGGGTGCTCCGGGCTGTCCCCGGCCTGAAGAAAACCAAGCCAGATTGAGGTCCTGCTGCTGAGACACACAAGCCGTTATGCATGTGAGCTTTGTGACATACCCTCCTGATATCAAGATGCAAGGACTGCAAGGACCCATCACAGCTTGGCCTTCACAGATTGCCTCTTTCTTATGAACGCATATATATATATATATATG